TTTTGAATTGAGTATCTTTCTTCTTGAAGTTGAAACTTGACTAAAAGCTGCAAAAATATATATATATATATATATATTATAATATAAAAGATGAATGTGATGATCTTAAGTATGTCTAAGATGCCTGCAACATGAATTAATTTTATCTCCTCGTGCTTTGTCTGCTTGTTCCCATGTGGAGGAAATGCCTTCAGAAGATTTAATCGTTTGCATCAGGATGTTTAATCCCCAAATATTCCCCAATATCAATGTTGAATCTCCAAATATGCCCCACATTTGCTGTTAAATCTTTAAAAAATGCCTCATTTTCCTCATTGCTTTCTTCAACACTGATTCTAAACATGAGCTGTGTCTGAGAACCACATATCACACTAAGATCCACTGTAGAGAGATTGTCTTGTTTGAAAGTGTTTTTTTTTTTCTTTTATTTTAAAAGTTTCTGAAAATATAAATAGAAGAGTTTTGAAAAATGTTTAATCAAAAGTTTTAAAATATTGCCCCCTTTCTCGGTTTCATAATTGAGATGAATAATAAAACTAGAGTTCATTGGACATCAAGAATTAATTACACTTTAATCCGTCAACAAAATAGTTATTTGACAAGTGTCAAGATCAAAGCTATCTTTGGGAAATGGTTAAGTAAGGAAAGGATAAAAAAGTCTCAGGTCTTGGTTTGGTCATGGTTGGCCTTCTATTTCTTTGATGTTCACTGATCTGGTGGGGTAGTTTGTATGCTCTACTGAAGTGTTTTCCAACTCCAGCCTCCATGGTCACACTCAGATTGTGCGCCTCCATGGTCACACTCAGATTGTGCGATGCCTTATCAAGGAATTTTTGATCGCCTCAGCTGCACATTTTATATTTGAGTTGCCTTTTCAGGTTTTCAACTCGAATCCTCATTTGGTTTCAAGACGTCATTCATAATTTATATCTTGAACCCCCCCTTGTTATTTTTCTATCATGCATTAAAGATTTTAGAAAATCTTTTGCAAATAAAAATTAATCCTGGGCGGAATAAAATCTGAAGATAGTCTCTTCTGTTCAGAAATCCATGTATGATTAGAGGAATTTTAAGGCACGTAACATAGGTCATGGTCATGGTTATGAAAAAAGATAAATAGGCTCAACAAGTGTTTCAGGGTATTGAACCAAGGATGAATTCATTCTGATGGCCTTCAAACCTGTCTTGCTCAATTTGAATCTGTTCGTATGTGTGTCTCTCTTGATGCTCTATGATCTTCGAGTGAAGTGATTCTGGAATAATTGTGCTTGATCAATCTCATAGTTTGAAGTTTGATGCGTCATTTGACTCGATTATCTTCCCTTTTTCTCTTTGTTTCTTTTCTTTTGATCTTGTTCTTTGCTTTGATTTGATCTTTGCACTTGGCATTTGGTTCACCTTTTGTATCTCCTGATTTGATGTCTTCACTTATGCAAATTTCTTCTACCTTACCCCTAGTGTGGGGTGATCCTTGGTTAGGTTGAATCAGAAGAAAATACTATAAGCTTAAAAGGGGACAATAAGGGATATATATATATATATATATATATATATAATATATATATATATACATGGATAAATGAAACAAAGCCGTTCATCATCTAATACAAAAAAAGTCTTCACAAAAGAGGTATCCCCAAGGGGATAGATTTTAGATTTCAGGATTAATTTTTATTCACATGAAAACAATGTAATTATGCATGATAGAATTTTTGAATTATTCTACTTTCTGCTTCTTGTTCTCAGCATGTCTCAATGTTCAGGCCCATCTTCAAGAAGTTGCGAGATGCCCCAAGTGTGTCTTCTGGTAGGAAGGTTCATGCTCAATGAATATCTTGTACTCAATGACTTTATTGACTCAAAGGTGTAGATATGACTCTCCATGGATTATTCTGGGTAAAGAATCGAGGGATTTTTTTTTTTAGAACAGGATAAGAAATGTCTGATATTGACATATGTCAAAATCTATAATTCTTGAAGAATTAAAAGAATATTTAATTCATTTAATATTCGAAGAACTAAAGATTAAATTCGTTCAATTATTTCACCTTAGAAGGTAACATAAATTCAGTCATTTAAAAGATTAAACAAACATGAAAGTTCAAAACGTGTTCAAAAAAACAATGCTCTCAGTGTAAATGGTAGATGCATGCCCTCTTCTTCGATTGTCCATGCCCCTGAATTCATCAGGTTTTGAATCTTGTGCTTCAGTACCTTACAGTTCTTAGAGGAATGTCTGGAGCTTCCTATGTGGTAACTGTACACAGCTTCAACATCGTAGCCTTTAGGATATGGGGACTCTTTTCTCAGATCATCTAGCAGGCTTGGCCCTACAATAAGCTGATTAGGCTCACCGTGTACTGATTTCAGTTTTTTTAATTTCTCAAATCTTGCTTCCATGTGTGTCACATGATTAGAACATTGCATCGAATCCTCCATGAAGAAATTTCATGTTTATGAAAATGTTAAAATGAATGTATATGCAAAATGCATGAAATGCTCGAGGCATTGATCCGAAAACTTGCTGTTATTATAAATAATCCTTATTGGGATAAAAGTGTTTATCTTTTAAGAGACAAAAATATCCTGACAGCTTCTGACATGTGAATAGTCTTCTTCCTTCGTCTGCCACCGGTTGAATAACCTTTCGAACAGCTCTGACTTCTCTGGATGAACTGTGTAAATGTTGAGTACTTTTATACTGGTCCAATAAGTCTCGAATGACTGCATCTCTGCATTTATCTTTGTTGAACATATTCCTAACGAATACGTTATTGGAGTCCTCAATTGATAGAACTATGTGAAGTCATTTGATGTTTCTTGAATTCGTCCGCAATGGTCTCCGATTTCAACTATCGTTTTGCCATTGTTGTCTTGAAGGGACTCCCAAGATCAGTAACTTTTATTCTGCCCCTATACCCTGCCAGTCATTCTTCAAAGATAGACTTTCATTGCTTGATGTAGACCCGGTTCATTCTGAGTCATTTATAATATAATAGAGTGATATACTCTTCAATTGTGGGCACCACGTCTTCTGGATTGAATGTGACACATAGTCGCCTTGTAGATTGCCCTTCATTTTCATCTCTTGTATTACAACCCCTTTGTCCATTAATGCAAACTATTACATTTAACGAACACGTTTTGTGAATCAACACCTCTTGTATTATGTTATGACAATGAAATGAATGCAGAGAATAATGAAAAAAATGACACAAACAAAAGAAGGGAGATAAGTTAGTGTAAGCAAACAAAAAAATTAAATTAGTTAGTACAGTAAGACAATTGGTACAGATAAAATGTCATTCAAAGATGATAAACACCTACCCAGTCATGATATCTACCCGATCATGCTTTTATAGATAGTAATCCTACCCAAACATGCTTTCTACCCACAAAGATGTATTACAAGAAATTAATCCTATTCGCATGGTATCTAGTTCGCATGCTTTGAACAGAAAGTAAAGCATGAAATAATATCAAATAGCCTAAGGTTTGAAATGGGTGGGGTGGGCTCTAATTCCTTGTATTTCTCTGTTTAGGTTCTAAAAGGTACTCGAGTTCTCCTTGCTGGTGCCCCTTGGGCTTGCCAGACCCTTAGTCCTAAGCCTATTACAAGCTATGTGGACTAAGTTAAACTCAATGAAACATTCCCTTATGCCTATGCGGTGAATAATTCACGAAGACATAAGGTATATGAATCCGAAGGCTACTTGCTAGGCCTATGCGCCTTGTATTTTCTCTGTTTAGGTTCTAAAAAGGTACTCGAGTTCTCCTTGCTGGTGCTCCCTTGGGCTTGCCAGACCCTTAGTCCTAAGCCTATTACAAGCTTATGTGGACTAAGTTAAACTCAAGATGAAACATTCCCTTATGCCTATGCGGTGAATAAATTCACGAAGACATAAGGTATATGAATCCCGAAGGCTACTTGCTAGGCCTATGCGGAGAGTAAATTCTCACGAAGGCATCGTTTTCACCCTCACTTAAAAAGGGTTCGGAGCTCAGGTATAGAGCCAGGGATAAAAACTTTTCAAAAATCTGAAATCATTGAAAAAACGTCAGTACAACTATTTACTTGAAAAATAATCAAAGATAAATAATTGAAATCGAATAAATAAATTAAAATTAAAATTTTCAATTTTCAATTTTCGTTAAAAAGACAACCAAAAATTAATTTCGGTCTGACTCACTTACCTGTCCCCAGTAGAGTCGCCAAGCTGTTGCAACCGCCTTTCTGGTGGGCCCAAAATTTGGCTTCGACTTAAAAAAAATATTAGAGTCGCCACCGATCATTTATTTTTCGTAAAAAATTGGTTGATCGGATACCATCTTACCTTATATGCATTTTACCAGAAATATGTTGGGCTTGGGAGTCGGTTACAGTCAAGGAAGAATTAGCACCATTGAACTACCCTTTCGGTACCATTTAATTTATTGATTGTCTTAATTGCGAAAATTTAAATTTAAATTTAAATTTAAAATTAAAATTAAAAATTTGATCATAATTATTTACCTTTTTGATTAATTAAAATTATCCTAAAAAAGATCATAAATAAAGTTAAAAATAAAACAAACAAAAACAAAGAGTTAGTATTAAAATTGAAATAAAATAAATAAATAAATAAAAGGAAATAAAAACATAAAATTAAGGGATTAAATAAAAATAGAAATTTAAAGTATTAAAATAGTGAAACAGAAAATTAAAAGACCAAACAATAATTAAGCCAAATGTAAAATAATGACTAAAATAAAGTATTTGAAAATATAATGACCATAATATTAAAACATGGCTAGACTAGGGGACTTAGGGGTGATTTGACCCTATATATAATGACTTAAATTTAACGTATATGAAAGAAATGGATCTAAATATGATTAACTAAATCAGTGGCTAGAACATAAAAAGCTATGAAATAAAGAGCAGTTAACATGTGGTTTTTCCAAAATCAAAATAAAAGCAATTCCTTTCTTGTTAAATTCCAGAACACATGAACCAATTCCCCTTCCAACTTTCATTCTGCGATGGAAAACCCTTCATAAGTCTCGCGGCGACTGACCCTCCCAAAGAGCCAACGCCGTCTAGCTCCGGCCACCGTATGAGTGACCCTTCTCGTCCGGCGCTTGACAAGGCGCATCGGCAGCAAGCTACGGTAATTTCTAAATCCCTAATTTTTTATTATATTCTAATAATGATGTACATGCCAAGAAAGAAAATTATACTAAACTAGATTTTTTAGTTGCAATCTAAAGATTAAACAAATAAACTAAAAAAATACCTTAGGATTTTTGCTTTTGATTTGGATTTGGGTTGTTGAAAATATGTTTCAACTACTGTATTTTTATTAATGAAAATCTGTGAAAAATCGAGATGAACTCCCCTTACAATTGTTTCCTTTTGTTTTCTCTCTCTTTGTGTTCATACATGCATTCGGTTTTTATAGACAATTTTACAATGATTTTATATTTTAAAATAATGTAATTTGTGATGATGCTCTGAATAAAAGTTTATATGCACCTACCCTTTTTGCGTTGGTATTGGCAAAAAAACAAGTGATAAATGTTTTTGTGACAATCAGACTGGGCGATAATGGCAAGTGGGAGTTATGGTGGCATCGACACTTTGAGGTAGCAAGTTGTTCAAGGTTAGGTGAGCCATGTCGGGTCGGTTAAATCTGGATTTCGGGTCGGTTCAATTTCAATCGAGTCTGGACTTATCTTGAATTGATGTAATTGGGTTCATGTGGGTAATTGGTTCAGGCTTGAATTTAGGCCTGTAAAATAGTGTAAATATGTTAATAATAATAATAATAATAGTAATAATTATAATAATATAATATTTTTTTAAAATTCCGATAAAAAACGGATGTCTACATTATTTTCTAAAAATTTACTTGAATAAGGTGTATAATTATTTTAGGTTAAAGTATAAATTAATTATTGTACTTTATTTTTTATTTTTAATTAGCTCACTCAATTTTATATATTTATCTTTTTTCGTCACTCCTATCAAGTTTCTAACGGCGTTGGATTAAATAAACACCATAAATGAGTTTTTCTGTTGGAAAAAGCAGTGAAGCGATCTAATCCATTTTTTTCACAAATCAATTTTCATGTGAAGAACTTTTTACACTTCCATTACCAAGTTCTTCATAATGCCAAAACTCCATGATTTAGCTCCAAGTTTGAGTTTTTCTCTAACCCATCAATGCCAAGATTGCAATCTCAACTAGTTTCAAACTTAATGCTCAGATTATTCACCCATTCATCTTTTTCTTTGGGTTTTTTAGCAATCGTCACTCAAATCTAGAGATACCCTTTACAACCCAAAGTTACAGAAATTAATCAACCATGAAGAGAGACAACAATCATCTGCAACCCAAACCCATTCTCCTCCCTCGACGGTGGTTCTCGACTGGAAAGGCGAAGCATTGGGGGAAGAAGTCGCCCAACAACTACGGAATGAATGCTTTTGGCGGATCTGAATTACAAGGTCAAGACTTTGGACATGGCAGAAGTGGCCTAAAAGTTTTTTGAAACAATCAGATTTGAGAACAACAATCAGAAACATCATAATCATAGGCAACAAATCTTTGAGGAAGCTTTCTACTCGGATTATGATCTCAAAGCTATTCCCGGTAAGATTGTTTATTCTCAAAACACCCAAACCCAACCTCATACTCACGATTCATTGTCTTCTTCAACTCACAAGACCCAAATATTTTACCTTTTTAACCTTAGAAAATTTAGATAACGATGGCAGAGTAGGGGATGGTGTAGAGATTAGAAGAGTTTCTTTTCTCAAGCGACAACGGTGAAACTCACGGGTTTCTATTCTTGCTTCCTAGTTCACGTAGAGAACTAAATTGGAGAGATTTTGAGCGATGAAGACAAAAAAGGATGCGAGTATTAGAAGGGGGAAAGAGAAGATGGTGGAGATATTTCACAGGGAATAAGAACGGGGTGGTAGAGAGATGAGAAGGGAGGGTATTTTTCCTACGGTTAAAAAATCGTGTGATCGGTAAAAAAAAGTAACCGATTAAAATTTAGAGTGATTATGTTATATCATTTAACCGGAAATATTATCAAGCACAATAACATATTAGGTAGCGTTTATATAATGTAATAAGTAGTGCTTATATAATAAAATAGACATTTAACCGGAAATATTATCAAGTACAATAACATATTAGGTAACACTTATATAATGTAATAGGTAGTGCTTATATTAACATATTTTTCTCATAAAATCGATAAATTTCAACTGGCTACATTGTAAATTGACCAATTACATTATAATTATCAGTTTCGATTTTTTTGTATCGATACAATTTTAAATGTATCGACACTCTATGCGTGCACCTGTTTGTATTTTCATTTTGGAAAAAAAGTATCGACACATATTTAAAGAGTGTCGATACATAATGTAGACATATTTAGTAATTAAACGGTATATTTTTACCGGTTTCATTGCAACATGTTAATAATTATCGGTTTCATTTTATTGGGATCAATACTTTTTATAAATGTATCGACAGTTTATGCGTACACCTCGTCTGGACAAGTGTATAGACACAAATTTAAAAAGCGTCGATACTTTATGTTGATCTATTTTCTCATATTTTTAGCTGTTATATTGTTATCGATCGATACATTTTCATAAATTGTCGGCACTTTTTATGCGCTATAACTTCTTCTCTTTTAAATTCAGAAAGTGTCGATACTTATATTAAATTATCGACACTTTCAACATATCCGGTAGTGTTTTACCGATTTTGTCATTTTGAGACCGATTTTGTCATATTTTTACCTATTATATTGTTATGGATCGACACATTTTTTTAAAAGTATCGACACTTTATAGGCTCTATAACTTCTCTTTTAAATTTCAAAAGTGTCGATACTTATATTAAAGTATCGACACTTTCAATATATCTGGTAGTTATTTACTTGTTTTGTCATTTTGAGACAGGTTTTGTCATATTTTTAGCTGTTATATTATTATAGATCGATACATTTTCATAAAGTGTCGACACTTTTTAGGCTCTATAACTTCTTCTCTTTTAAATTCATAAAGTGTCGATACTTATATTAAATTATCGACACTTTCAACATATTCGATAGCATTTTACCGATTTTATCATTTTGAGACCGATTTTGTCATATTTTTACCTGTAATATTGTTATGGATCGATACATTTTTTTAAAGTATCGACACTTTTTAGGCGCTATAACTTCTTCTCTTTTTATTTCCAAAAGTGTCGATACTTATTAAAGTATCGACACTGTTAATTACCTATTACATTATAATTATTGTTTTGATGTTTTTGGGTCGATACTTTGGAAAATGTATCGACACATATGTTTACATATGTATCGAAACAAATCTTTGTGTTTACTAATTTTATCATTAAAAAAATATATTTTAACCACCTACATTGTAATTTTACCTATTACTTTAAAGTTATTGAATGTTGTAGTTATTGTACATACCTGAATATGTCCTGCAAATTTAATGTTGTACCCACCCTTCAACTACCACTACCAATACCACATCCTATTGAAAGCACCACTGAAAACATGTTGTTCAATGAACCTTTACTTACATCTCCATCAACTCATGTTGGGACCACTGAAATTGCACAACAAAATTTTTGTCACGGATCATACTGATGCAGACAATGTTAAGCCAACCGATGAATGACATGAAGTACATAATGTTGATGAATTTGAGATATTGGTTGGTAAGCTCTTCTCTTCACGTGATCAAGCTTGGTACTTTTACAAGGGATTCGCACGGGAACATGAGTTTAGTGCATGTCGGGGAACAACACGACTTGACATGGAAGGGAATATAAAGACACAAGAATTTTGTTGTTAGAAAGAAGGGTTTCGACAATCAAAAGTCAATATCGTTGATCGTCAACGTGCTCATACGCCAATCACAAGAACAGGTTGCAAGGCTAGAGTCATAGTTACAACAACAAATACAAACGATCAGTAGGTTATAAGTAAGTCTTATCAGAAACATAATCATGCATTGTGCACACCTGCTATGACACCATTTATGCGTTCTAATAGAGTTATAAGTAAGGCTTATATCGATGAGGCAACAACATTGAAAGAGGTCGGTGTTGGCACGTCACAAGTAATGAACTATTTAACGCAGCAGGCAGGGGGCTATCATAATATTGGATTTACACATAAAGATCTCTACAATGCACTTCAAAGAGGTAAAGCAAAGGAAATTGTTGATGGGGATGTGAATGCGCTTATTGCTTACTTTGATTATAAGAAACATGATGATCCCGGGTTTTTTGTGACATACTCGGTAGACGAATCAGGGGCGTTGCATAATCTTATTTGGTCGGATTCTACATCGAGATCAAATTACATATGCTTCGGTGATGTAATTACGTTCGACACAACGTACAAAGATAATTTGTATGGTCGACCAATTATGCCTATTGTCGGTGTCAATCATCACCATAACACAATTGTGTTTGCTACTGCCATAATCGCTGACGAGACGTCCCAATCTTTCGAGTAGGTGCTACATAATTTTTTAGAAGCCATGATGAACAAATCGCCTATTTTAGTTGTCACCGATGGGGATAGAGCAATGTAGAGGGCTATCAAATCTGTTATCCCTAATGCTAAGCACATATTATGTTCTTGGCATCTTTCTCGCAATGCACAAGCTAACATTGGTGACTCAAAATTTATAGCAGCATTCTCAAAATGTATGGCTTCCTGGTGGACAACCGACGAATTTGATATTCAATGGCGTTCAGTTGTTTCATAATTCAACGTCGAAAATCATCCATGGGTGATTGAGAAGGGAAATACTCGGTACTTATGGGCACAAGCATATCTAACCGGTTATTTATTTGCTAATATTCGCTCAACACAAAGGTGCGAGTCTATGAATGCTTCACTCGCAATTGCACTTAAACACAAGAAGACTTATTTAGATGTTGTTCATGCAATTGAAGATGGAATTAGTAGAATGCGTATGAACGAGTTGAAAGCGGATTATTTAAGTTCCCAGACGAAGCCCTTCCAGATCACAAAACTGGTTGAATTTGAAAGTCATGCTTCTGAGATTTTTACGCGCGAATCTTTTCATGCGTTCCAAGAAGAACTTCAACGAGAGACATTGTACCGGATTCAAGAAGAGATTCAGTCCTTATCAGATGAATGTCAATATTTTTATTTGAAAAAATACAAAGAAAAAAATAGGACATTTGAAATTAGTTTTGATTCTCCTACGAAAACCCTAAATTGCTCATGTAAAAAATTTGAGACTGTTGGACTTCTATGTCGCCATCAACTTCACATTTTGAAGCACTTGGATTACACATATTTGCCCGGGTCTTTGAATCAAAGTAGGTGGACTAAGGATGTGAAGGTTTCTGCACCCAGTTTTATTGATTTGAATGTGCCTCCAGAAATAATGCAAATGGCAAGGTTTGCTTCTCTACATGCAACAACAAGTATGTTATGCTACGCTGCATCAAAGACAGATGCGTCTTTTAAAACCGCAAGAGATGAGATGAAAAGACTAACAGAAGAATTTGAGAACTCGTTTGGTTTGAATGATTCAGTCAATCGGAGCAGTGTATTAAACAACGTTCGCGACCCTCAATGGATGAAAGCGAAAAGAAGTAACAAAGAACAAGGTTGAGAAGAAAATTAGGCAATGTGGGTTCTGCAACGGTGAGGGACATAACAAACTAACATGTCCTCAAGTCAAGTTGGGTTTGAATACAAGCACACAGTCTACTTTAATTGATTTTTTTTAAGACGGAATGAAAATGGTTATTCAGTCCAG